TAATCATTTAACACAAATATCGAAAAATTTTATTAAATAATAAATTATGATAAATCATAGCAAAAACCGATTTACAATTCACAGTAGTATTATCTTGCTCGGTATTAGGAAGATTTAGAAGAACGCGCGCGGTTATATTTCTTCTCATAGCAATATTTCAATAACGCCCGCATAAAGTATTGGTGCTGTCCGCCGATACAACCCCTATATTCAATAAGCGCCTATCAGTCGCATGTCGCAAACAACATTAAATCTGTATCGGTTGAAACCGTCTTGCTTGGTGAAAATCGCACGAAAGACTTCGTCCCGAAAAGAAATCTACTATCGGCAATATTTGTTAATATTCATATCCGATTGTGAAAAAAGGAGAATGTTTCCAACACGAAACGTCATTTACAGCCGGACAGTTTATCGTAAAATATAACGCGAAATATATTGCGCCAATTGCATTCCATGGTGATAGGGCAACGCTAAAGAAATTAGTTCGAGAATTAAAAAATAACACGGTATAGGTGATGCTCTGGCAATGCGATAATCGATGGGATAACGTTGCAATCAAAAATTTCATAAACTGTGAAACCATCTACGCTTTATTCCACAAATTCCACGTATGGAAGGCAAAATCCATTTTAGATGGCGAAATTTGTGCAAATGGCACAAGTGATAACACGGGTCGTTGCTACGTTGGATTTTACAATATCGCCGTTCGTACCAAAATGGTAAACTCGTTACCGGAAATGCTAGAAGTTTCTGCGCCGAAAAATTGAACACAATTTTCGATATTGATAATTCGTGATGACGGACTATCGAACTTGTCCTACGGCCATTTCGCAGAGCGTTTTGGTATAAAAAAAATTTCTATTTAATTAATTGGTAACATGTATATGTAACGGGACGCGAATTCGATTCGACGACCGCAATATCGACGCGGTTACGCAGTGTAAAATTATACTGGCACGTACTGAGAAATATTTGAATACGTACGAATGTGTCGGTAAAACGTTACCGCGTAGAACGTATGCGGCAAGAATTAGTTAAACGGTCAATGTTTAACTACGGCGCTGTTACGCAGCTAAAATTTGGCGACTTCGTCCGCGAGAGCAAGACGGCAATAAAATCCACTTTACTAAAAGCACAGCCGAGAGAATTAATTCGGACGGGCTATTACTCTCCAGCCGGATGTCGCGTCATTAACGCCTCACCATGTAGCTGTACCGTGTACTAAATTATTCGTGAAGCTGTCGCCGGCAGTACGAAATAATTTCGCGTATGCTTTAATATATATCTATCTCTATAAAATTAATAAATTGCTATTATTATTGTATCTTACGATTTCTCGAGTATTTTTCTCTTTATAATATATATCATGAGATACCGAACAATTACGCAAATTCGGTGCAATTTACTACGATGCACTCTATATACTTCTGAAATCTGTAGTATGTATCTGCATTCTATCATAGACAAGTGCGGAATAAAGTTACGAGAAGCTAAAACTATTGAAATGTTTCCACAGTTCACGACCAATGCTATTGAACTCTCGGTAAAGTAATTAGCAACAGAGAATGTACGTGGAATCGAGGAGAAAAGATGAAGGTAACGCCAACGCCTCTGTGTACACAGGAAAAAGGAGGCGCTGCCCATTAGAATGCAGTGTGTAGTCTGCAATCAGATCGGTGCAGGTTTCTAACTAGGAACGGATCCAAAGGTAGCGAAGGATATAAGTCTGTATCCACACACATCGATACGTTTCACACATTGATATGTTACATTCATACTTTTCAAGTTAATTTTTAACTATAAATTTGTTCAGATAATCAAGTGTGCGTTATATTTCTGCAAAAATGTCCGTAAAAATAAATTAAGATCAAATTGATTAAAATTTATTATTATACTGGAATAAACTTTAATTATAAAATTGCAAGTTGCATGTATGTATAGATTTCTGCACTTGGCTAATAATGAAAAAAATGTAAACTTTGTGCAAATATTTGGAAAAGCAGGATCAAGCAAATAAACGGAAATAGGTTCCAACCATTCCTAGCTATACAACTGCATTCGAATGCCAGGCACGTGACTTTGTTACGAGATAATGCTACTTCCGAATTTATACCTAACCTCCGCCTTAGAGACTCCGGATTCGGATTCCCTAATTAACAAACGAGAGGAGACAAAGCCAGCACGGATATCAGGTATAATTAATTTCACATGTCTTGGATATGCACAAACCGACTTTGTCAATTCGAATAGATATGTCCAGAAACTTAACATCTTACTTCGTCTTAATCGACTTCGTCTACATCTTAATTTCTTTTTTATGCAAAATTATATAACAATTTGTTTGCGTTTTAATATGCAATTTTACAGTAATTTATATTTTAATATAATTGATAAACAAGACGGCATAATAAATTTTTATATCATTAATAAAAACAATGTAAAGATTTTTCTTATGTTTTAGCAATGTATGCATCACAAATAATCCATATGCAAGTTAAAGAAATAAAAATAAATCGAAAAAAAATACTTAAAGCGGCGGGATTAAAATGTACCGTAGAATTGTTGATGATAAATCGAAAACTACTGTTACAATTTTTTATTATTTTCTATTTTATTTTTGTATTGTTTTTATTTCACTAAAATCACCGATCTAAATAAACTATGAAAAGTAACACACTGTCAGGTATAATGTTACAAAAAATACGGTATTAGTAAAAAAAATAAGCACTAAAAACGAGTAATTCTCTCTTTTTAAATTTTAATAAGCGATATCATATGTAAAATGCACAATTTATTTCCAGAAATATGCGATAGAATATCAAATATTTCGGAATAAAATTCCATTCATAAAAGGCAGGTATAGTCATTAAATAATTAAACTTAATCAAAGTAAAAAAAAATATCTCTCCACAGTCTAACAGAGGGGACAGAGAGGAAACGGAGGAAATCCTGGGCGATGTTAAAAGCGCTCCTAAACGTCCAGCGACAAAAGGTCAAAGGATCGAATATCCAGATAGCCGGCGGTAATTTGAATGCGGTAGTTTGAAATAAAAGGTCGCGCGAAAGCAGGACAAAACAGATCTCTGTGTACAGACGACGTATGGCGGCTAATGGAAGCCGGAGGAATCACGAGAAGAGGAAGAAGCACGAGGGACGGGAGGAATCAAGGGATAGAGGAAGGGTGAGATGGATGGATAGGAACGATGAGGGGCAGGGGGAGGTGAGAGAAGGGGGACAAAAAGGGACAGGGCGGGATGGGTACGACGAAGCGGCAGAAGAGAAGACTCGATTACACGTCACCAGCAGCCCGGAGCCTATTTGGTCGCAATCGGTTTTTCATTACCAAAAGCCTCACCGGCTTTATACCAAATTGTACATTCGGCGACCCTTGTAAAACTCATCGGGATCTCACGGACGCGCGAGCATTGGAATCGCGCGGGCTGGCGCATAATTGATCACCCGGTATGTATATATGTCGCGCGCGTGCTGCCTATAACTTTCGGCAGATGCAAAATAAAAGAACGCGAGCTTTTCAAGAGTGCTGTTCACGTCGAATCTTCAATCCGCTGAAATGGATTATATGTCAAAGCTAATGCACGGTAAATCGACGTATGAACTACTTTCGCGAAACTCATGCATTTTTTCGCGGCCTCCTTCCTGATACTCTATCGCGAGTATCTGGAGATAGATTGTGCATCTCGCGTACGATACTATTTTCTAAAATTTAAAGAGATGCATAAAATATCAAAGACAATTTCACATTCCGATATATAAAGTATCGAAATATGCGGCGGAATGACAATGAATCTCGTAATCAGATTGTGTGTCTAATGTAATTATTTTATGTAATTATTGCATGTAATTATTTCATTATACGATCGTTTAAATATCTAAACATAAAATTTACATTAAACAATCTCGATTTTAGAATCGTGTAGCTGCATTTATGAAGGGTTTCGTTCGCCACGTTAAAAGTACATTGTAAATTAATTACGCAACTATATTGACATAAATGCTCGTTTAATTATCACAGTAACATTCATATTCTAATAATTGTATACGTACCTGAATTAATTTGTCCGTACGATAGTTCGATGACACTTTTATTGCTCGATTACACAGTGCACAATGTGGCGAGAAAATGATGCAAAACGCGCGATAATTATTTTGGATATATTATAGTGGACACCAATTGTGTTATCGACGAAACATCAAACGCACGATTTCGACCGACACTACAATTGTAATTCAGCGGTCATTATCGCGCACACGATTAACGCGATTAGAACGCCCATACGACGCTCTATTCATTCCCGATATTTATCTACGCACACAATTGCGGAAATTACGACAATACTTCGCTGCGACTTCATCGACAAAGCTCGGAACATAATGTAATGGAGGTTATGTTATTAACAAAACATCGAACATTCTATTTCGAACTGCGGATTGTCATTCGGTCACTATTCATTATCGCATATTGATTACTTACTTTTAGAACGACGTGTTACTTTATTCGGTACTATTGATATTTATCCCCATGTAATCGCGAAGATATTTCTCGTTCACTTTAGCGATAAAGCGCGCGAAATTGCAATTAATGTTGCCAACAAATTTTTACAGCCGCGTATGCGCAGTACTTTTTTAGCTATTTTCTGCACTACGTTAATCATAAAAAATAATTTTTACTTATTATTATATCATACTTTTTAAAAATATACACAGTATATAAATATTGATGTATTATATATATATATATATATATATATATATATATATATATATATATATATATATATATATATATCTATAAATAAAGATGAATAGATTATATATTTAATGAGCAAATATGTGAGATATTAAATGTTTTTAAAACATACACACTTAAAAGTACATTACCTACCCTCTTACGGTGACACTATGAAACTTGTTGGTAATTTAAATGTGCAAATTGACTATAGATGGCGACAGGATTTGTTTTTTTTTACACCTTTGTGCGCATGTTTACATCAGGGTCTGATGATCAGGCACATCAACAGCTGATCGTTTATTTTGGACAAAGAATGTGCGCAAATTCAGTGAAATAATAATATGGCATTACCATATTGTTAACTAATTTTGACAATCTACTGATATAAAAATTACAGCAAAATTTGAATCCAAAGAGTGAACTTTGAGACTGTTTTTTACGACTGACTAAAGCTTTTTTATCATAGAAATAGAAAATATATAATTATAATTGATTACTCAAGAACATTGCTAAAAGTATGTCAGCCTTATCAGAGACTCTCACAATTAAACAGCCTATTAGACGTTTGGAAATCCAAATTAATAATTTCAACGTTGCTATTCCACACCATGTAGATTTGTTAAAGCAACACAAGAACAATATTAAAAAGGTAAGCACTTACAAATTTTTGTATCTTTCTCATATTTTGAAAATATTTCACAAAAATAATTTATATTTGTGCAGTATCAAGATCAGCATGATTGGGATCGGGTAAAAAAGGAGCATATAAATGTCTCTCGGATTATCAAACAACTAAAGGAATTATTATATCAAATGGACACTCTCAGATCACAAGTTCTCGATGTTGATATTGATAAATTTGACAAATTGACGACAAATGCAAGAAAAAGTATCATGAATGCAATTAAAGAATATTTAGGTAAGATACATAATATAATACATAACATTTCCTCTCAACTCTGGTAAACGCAAAATTCTCGATTAAAAATTCAATATGGATATAAATGTTATTTACAGAAATGGAACTAAATTTTTCAACGACACTTATACCATCTAAAAATGAAAACCAAAAATCAAATGACTTACCTGAAGATAACCAGGTTCAGTTGCAAGCAGAACAGGAAGATTTGCAGCGTCAGCAAACATGTCTGTTTATCTGGAACCATTTGCAAGGAGAAATACAACAATTACATGAGCTTTTTGTTGAATTCAATAAAGTTGTACATGTAAGTTTATAATTTTATTTTTGATACATTATATAATATGGAAATATAATGTAAAAGAGATTTTTTTAAATTTTCCTTTATATGTATATCAGTTTTTGAAGTATTTTATAAGCTTTATTACCATTGTACATATCTGAAAATCTTTTTATAAACAGGATCAGAAAGAAATGGTGGATAATATCGAAGAAAATATTGAAGAAACTCAGATAAATGTGGACAAAGGTGCAAAATACATACAACAGGCTTCAAAATATAAAGTTGCTGCTTACCCTATAGCAGGCGCTATGATAGGCACATGCATTGGAGGACCAATAGGTTTGCTAGCTGGCATGAAAATTGGTGGCCTTGCTGCTCTGAGTTGTGGTATTTTAGGTAAATCCTATAATACGAAAATATCAATAAATATAATATATAAAGTTATATCCAATTAAACATTGAATTAATTGCACACAATTATCAATGTAATAATGGAAATCTTTTTCTTTAGGTTTTACAGGAGGATCGTTGCTGAAAAAGAAACAAATAGAATATCGAAAAGTAGAAGAACATGTTAACAATTCGAATATTGATTTGAAGTCAATTAGAAAATCTTCCTCTTGCCCAGACAGTTTAAAAGATGATAAGAAAGACATATGACAAAACATGATTTCATCATCATGTACTATCAATTTTAAACGTGAAAAAAAGTGCACCGTTGTATAATTTTTAATTGCTAAAATATTCTTTTTACTTCTTGCAAATATATTTATTTTATTTTATATTTTTATTTATACACATACATATTTTGTGCAACTTCACACAATAATCACATTTTAAAAATTCTTGTAGGAAAGATTTGTTTAAAATGTAATTTATAATACTACTTATAATTTTCTATACTTCAAAAGATAAACGATAAAATTCATGAATTTATAAGTCTTGTTCAATTTATAAATTCTTGTTAAAATATGTAAGAACTTTATTTAATAATATATTATAAGATCACGATATTCCATATCAACATTTTATAGAAATTGCCACAGCAATATACGCACAATCAAGGCTTTGTGAGTTCAAAGTATAAAAAATATCTCTTTTATAAAACAATGACTTTTATATGCCTTTTGCGTGCCTTGTAACTGCTTCGAACTATTGAAAATATGTATCAAGCTCTGCAACGTTTTTTAGACATTTTAGCCGCTTGTAAATGCTTACTAATTATGGCTTGATTTTCTAAAATTTAATAAGTGCAATATAAATTGTGCACACGTATTGTGCATAATTAAAATATCTGTGTTAATAAAAGTAAATTTATAATATTGTATATTTTACATTGTAAATATATAGAATTGAATTATTTAAAAGATGCTAGTTACTACTTATTAGATCAACAAATTGTATATTAAATAAAACGCAAAAACATTTTGACCAAATCACATTATAAAATTATAGGCAGGTTATTATGTTATTTATAGACACTTTATTACACGTTTGTAATTGTGTACGCGTATGTGTCAATTATGTACATACATATCTGAGATAATGAATAAATAATTGTACTTACTAACTAGAATATTGCAGGTTGCTCCACCTGTTGCAAATTTTATTTTAGGCTGCATCAAATTCATTAAAGAATCCATGAATATCTAAAACCCGTACTTAGGCCATGTTAGGCATACGACCGTATAAGAAATCTACCGCACGCTGCGCTTTTAAAAATAACAAATTTATGTAGCAAATTTCTTACCTCTTGATGCACGAAATGCATTTCGTGTCGCAACAGATCCATGGACAAATTATTTATAGCCTATTATTATCACCTTGTTGCATTGAGTGATTAGCAATCCGAACGTTCGCGCTGTGCGGTCCGAAGCAAGGTGCGCATGATGATTCACTGCCGATGTCTGATATCCAATAAAAGAATGCATTCTCTAGAAACTTTGTCTAACGCCATATTTGTCCCAAGAAAATACATTCTTTTATTGGCTAATGTACACAATACGTCATTTGAAGCAGTACGTTACTTACCAGATGCAAGCCGCGAATATTTGTATTATTTAAAATTGGCAATTGTGGAAAATGACGAAGGAAAATGAATATAGCACGGTTTGAAATAGAAAATACATCAATAATTACTTATATATTTCTTTGTAATAGGCGTTCAATATATAAGACATGTTACAATTGATATTTAACAGTGTCGGATAGGAAAGTTTCAGGGGCAGTGTTTCATCGATTTCATTTTGTGTACACTATACATTACTTTATCAAAGTAGAAAACAATGTACAATGTTTTATAAGTGCACGTTTCTCAGCAAACTCGTCGATTCAATAAAATAAAGGACTATCAATAACGCTTAATAATAATTAGCGTTTAGTAAGTTGAAATCTCCTTCGCATCATGTAAATGTTTCTTTTTTGTTTTCTTTTAAAACGAGGCATGACAATACATTATGCTTCAGAATATAAAATAAAATCAATAAATCGTGAATAAATGTAATTATCAAACTAAAAGAGATTAAAACTTATCTACAAAGATCCCACATCGCATCAAGGATATAATCAGTATTATCGCCAATACAACATATTTAAAATTAAAATTCGTTGATTGAAATTTTTATCTTTTGTATTATTAGAAAAAAAGTTAATGCAAAAAGTGCGATTAGTAAGGAGAACACGAAACCTCCCTCTCAGTCTGTTGCACTTCGGATTCGCTGGGATTTGCTTTTATGCAATATCGTAAGATTATCAGCGCAAGATGTTGAGAGAAAATACAATTTTCAGATAGTGCAAGCTATTATTCCCATGAGAATTCTACTGAGATCAAAATTATAAGATATTCAGTATAATCGGTATTCCCACGTAGCAAGAAAACAAGCTGTGAAATATGTCAATGTCGCACTATCAGCAAAGTTATCGTAACTGGAAGTATGTTATATATAGTATTTATTATACATTTATAGTAGTAAAAATAATTATGAGAATAATGAATATATATATATTCATCAATATATATATATATATTCATCATATATTCATTATATATATATATATATATATTCATCATATATTCATTATTCTCATAATTATTTTTACTACTATAAATGTAAAAAAAAACTTTTTTTTATAGAAAAACATAAAAGCAGTTTCCATTTATTGTGATTTACTTAAAAAACAATAAACTTTTAAAATTTTTTCCAAAAAAACAAGTTTTTTTTGTTAATATTAGTCTTACTGACAGTGCGATGTAAAAACGATATACGCAGCAATATATTCATAAGAATTCCTAAAGTATCATTTCCTAAAGTAGAAACACATTTTGTAGCAATCGTCCGTCGCTAGACTATCCATGCAATTATCCTGTCTAAAAAAAAAAGATTGCAAATAAATGCAACAATAAAGTAACTATGTCGGTATTGTAGTCAAACGTTTCCGAGTATTCGAGGATCTTTTCGAAAATTCGGTTATGCCATTCTTCGATAAAGCGAAGAGAGAGGAAACTTAACGATTAAGCAACATTGATAAAAAATATATTTTCAACGCGTTCTCCCTGTCATGGCCATCCGACAGACATTCCTTCATTAAATTTGCCACTTAATCTCCTTATTCTTGTTCGTAAAATATATAATTCTACTTAAGTAGCTATGTTTTTTGTTGCTCAAAGCATCTCTATATCGCACCACAGGCTGCACTTCCGTCCGCGAAACACTCACGAAACGCTCGAAACACCTCAAATACTGCAGATGGCTTAAGTCGCGTGTCTTTAATAATTAAAAATATATAAAGTAACAGTTTTAAGGCTGCCATAGTTCACAATTTGTGATGTTTGATCATTATCGTTCCTATTTCTTAGTAAACACTATAATCTTTTTAAAAATCTACGATTATACTGACATGCACCAGGCTGGTCATTAAATTAACAAACATTAAACTCGACCGTATAAAATGATAAATCAATCCTTGTGGTAAAAATCTGTTAAGCTCATTATAAAACAATGTTTTAATGCGGTACTTTTGCTTGAAGTTCCTTATTTCAATTTATGAATTAATAATTAATAATTAAAATCTTAAAAATTTTGTATAAAGAAAATCGCAATTAAAATTTATATCTTTATGTAATAAATAAAGTACTTTGTAGGCCTATTTTTTCGTTAAAAATCATTGATTCTCTGCCAATTCCAAAAGTTATTCGTGCGAAATACTTTCAGATAGAATCGAATGATAAATGTCGATAAAATGCGTAAGGATCATGTTAAAAATTAATCACTTGTCGCTCGTGTGATTAATGCTAAAAAATGTTGCATATAGAAATCTAGATTTCTTAAAAAATCTACGATATATAAATCCTAGCTATATCGCCGCTGTGTACACGTTTATCTAATAAGTAAAAGTAACTAATTATTAACGGCTCCGTATATACAGAGCTCGTAATCGATGCATGGACAGCATGGAGAAACGATATGGAAACAGGCCTACGAACCGACCTCTTCTGGTCTAGCCAACGGCGCCTTGGATCTTTCTGTAGTAGTGGTCACTGTAGTCGTGGTGACTTCCAAGTTAGCCAAATCCGCGGCACTAATCTGTAATATTTAAAAATTTGTTTATCGAGAAATTGTTGCATTTGCATTTTAAACAGTCGTTGCAACAGTAGTTGCGTCTAAAAAACAGTTAGTAATTAAAAGCCTTATATCTATTTCAGTATAGTTAATCAATCCGTTAATGAATATCGCATGAGAGAAGCAGCGGGAAACGAATAAATAAAATTAAACAAATTAAAAGCTGATGCACTTAGTAGCGGGAGATCCATTTGTTAATAGCACACGACAGGGTACTAACGGTAGGGTCAATACGGGATTAGTATCGAGGTAACGACCGACACCAATTAATTATAATATGATTCAGTGCCGTTGCTGACCTCGACGTTCGGGGGAAGAGTGATTGTAGCGTGTGTCGTTGTTGTCTCGATACCGCTGAGTATCTCTCGCTCTACCGTAGTGCCTGCGCAATAAAACAAAAATGCCACAACCAAAACAATAAAAAAAAAAAAAACAATACAAATAACATAAAAGTAGAACAAAACATGTCGAAACATTAAAAAAGACGAAAATAAAAATAGATATACAATTTAAGATAATGCGAAAATCATAATTCATCAAGTCTGTCAGTTAACGAGCTTAAAAAATTAGTAAAATTTGGCAACCAATATTCGATTAATCACGCTTTAAACACTTTAAATTATAAATACATCTAAAAATTCTTAATCTCTTTAGAAATTGTCAAGCTGACGTTCTAGTAATCAAAATAATTTAATTTTAATAACTTTAGACCTCGTTAGATCATTTTAATCTAGATCGATTGCAAGTTCACTCACTGTTTACGTGCTGCGTTTCGTTCGCTTGATTCGTTTCGACTTCACCGTTTGCAGTCGTGCTATTCGTAGTTTGTGTAACCACAGTGGTCGTTTTCACCACCAACGATTGATTTTGCGTGGATATCTCGGAAGTTCGTGAAGTCACCTCCATTTTCAATCCTGCCAAACGATTGTGGAGATCTTCGGAAGACGTCGCGTTTCTAAAAAGTGAACTGTTACTGCCAAAAAAAATGGCAAGTCGAGTACGCATTAGTCAACGCGCCCGGCGAAATAAATTACAAAGCCATGCAATATATTTAATTATATAAATCAAACTATAGACATGTTATAATGATACAACGAAAAATTACGGTCTATTATTAAACTAACAATTGAAAGAAAATAAAATGTATCGCATATGAGCAAATTTTAAGCGTAATTAAATAAAACATTAAATGATATGAACTGAACTTACAGCAAATGATCTTTAACACTGTCGATCGTAATGTCGCCGATAGAACTTAAATCCTGACGATCATCTTCCCCGTTTACGTCTATACTACTCGTAGCCGGTTGCAGCGACGGCTCCTTTGGAGACTCTTCTTCGCCAGCTAAAAGACATGCGTTCAACAATCGACACTAAACGACACTACGAACAACAACGTCTCTAATATCTCTCATTTATTGACACGTGATACACAAATAGCGGTAATGGATGAGTTTTCATTAGGATCACAACATGTGGCCAAGCACAAGTATATGCAAGTGATAATATATCAAGCGGTTAACACATATGTAGCAATCGCGCTAACACAGAAGCCGGTGATGTATATTCTATTGTAAAAAAAATGTATTTGTCTCTTTGGATTATATGTGTAAAAAGTTACATAAGTACATAAAGTCAGCATACTCACTGGCATTTACTACACCGTTTTCCGTGATAATTCTGTTTGCCGCTGTCGGTGTCTGACTTCCCTGTGTCTCTCCTTCGGTTTCGGGCGCGCCTTCCACAATACCTTGCTCCTGCGCGACCTCGTTAGAATTTTCCGTGTATGTTCTGGCGTGCGGCGGTAAATTGAGCGCGCAATGCGCCTTCGTCATTTTCGCGGCTGATAGAGAAATTCGTTGGAGTTCCGAACTCGAGTGAAGATATAGCGCTTCTCCGGCTTTCGTAAACGTTAAGGAAGAAATACCGCTGAAGAAAAAAAGGGAAATGTCAGCTTAAAGGTCATAATTTACAGATCAAATGCAAGATATAAAAAAATACTGACTTAATGTCCTCCCTTTTGATTGCAGCAGCGTTCAACTGTCTCCTCAGTTCCGGTATACTCAGCACTAAACAATCACCAAGATTCGTCAGACAGAGCAAGCAAGTTTCTTCGTGAACACCCGCCGGCTCGATCGAACACGAGAACTTGGCGAAGCCCGTTTTGCGCACTCTGGATCCCTCGTGAGCGGTCAATTTGTATTTGCAGTACGGCTTCAGGGACGGAAGATTGAAAATTTTAAACTGTTCCTCGCTGGCGATTACAACTCTGTGCGGGGAAGTCATGTCAGGCCCGGGTGTCACGCCCTTCTCGGCTTCGTAGGGTTCTGGCAGTGGCACACTGGATCCGTCTAAAATTGTGATCGCGATCACAGGCGCTCGATGCTTCAGTTGTATCTCCTTGCCCAGTGTGCAGTTGACATCTTCTTCCGTTCTTCTTACGCCGGCCGGTACAGCCAGCGTGAAGACGTAAACTGTGCCGTTGTTGGTGCCCGCCCAAAGTGTAGGTGTTGTGTTTTGTACTGCAAACAAACATTTGAAGTCATTTTTTGCTGCGACGCTACTGACTTTATATTTATCACAAGATACTAACGGCTAATAATGTAACTTCTGGCGAAGTATAAGCATCGAACCATAGATCCTAAAGCGTCGTCCACAGGTCTCGCTTCGACCTGTCTTTCCACTGGTTTCAATTCCACCGGCGGTGATAAATCGCCACTCGGTGAAGAAGCAACACTGGGACTAAAAGATTAATAATTACATATCTTCCTCTATTTTAATTGAATTGTGAAACTTACTTCTCTTTCTTCTTTTCAGGTGCGGTATTTCGCGTAGGACTACTGGCGTTTGTTCGACGTTGCGAGCGTCCCTTTCTCAATCTCCTAAAAGATTCCCTAAGAGATTTCTTGAACGACTTTCGCCGAGAGATGGGCGTGTCGCCGGAACCGGAAAGATCTGTAAAATATTAGAATATTTTTATACATGATATACTAATTGAAATAATCCACTACACAACTTAAAATAAAAATGGAATAGAAAATTTATATCAATACATAAAATTACATTTCCTATGTTCGAAACTATTCCATATTAATCCAATATTTCACGTACCGTTTGGATTGAGCGTACATTTGACGCTAACGGCCTTCGCTCTAGTGTAATCGAAGACCGCGAGTCCATGCGCTGTGCCGGCGGCGAGCAGTCCCCATTCGCTGTGCAACGCTAACGCCGTGGCAGCGGCCGGTGGATACAGCTGAAGGAGGCTCTGCGGTTGAAATCCGGCCGCGAACGATATACTCGTCGTTCTTGGCGGCAGATGATCGTGGCCCTTCCACACAAATCCATCGCGATCGTTGACGATGTTCATCGTAACGGCCTTTATTTCTTTATTAACCGGTTCCGAAGAGATGATGGCAGTGATAACGTGACCAGCTGTACCAGCGATCACTAGAGTGGACGACAACGGGCAAAGCAGAACCTTCTTCACGGCAAGTCGCGGATCGTCAGAGTACGGATCAAAGATTCCCACCTTCTTGAATGGCGGCCACTCGTCCTCATCGTCCTCGGGTGGCTGCTCGAGAACGTCCAGATGCTCGCCGGTGAACAGAATCGACGAATTATATTTGTACAAAGATGTAAGAGCAACGTCGGACGCGTTCCAGAATCTCACGGTGCCATCCTCGTGCCCGGTGAGCAGCAGTTCTCTGCTCTTGGGTTTGTCGGGGTTTGCCGGTTTCTGGCAAAGAATATTGCCACCGTCAATAGGCCACGGCTTGTCCGAATAAAGATGCTCCGTTTGGGCTTTGCCGGCTTCTACAATTGCCTCCCAAAGTTCTTCGGGAACACTGGGCACATGTTGAGAACATGTGACCTACGATATATAGAAAGAATTGTATTTATACCTTGTATCTATTATACACCTTAGTTGTTTTCTGATGCTTTTATATCAGAACACTCACCGCACTCGCATGAAGTGATACTAAATAGGGCAGAGGCATCATCTTCCAATCGGGATTGGTCAAATCGATAGCTACCACTTCTTCTTCGGCTAACACTATGAGTACTTCCGGGCCGATAGGGTTCTCATTGTTCTCCTCTTCCTCTTTAGGAAACACGGTGAAAAAGTCGATGACCTTAGAGGTGAAATCGAAGACTAAATGTTTATTCTTGGTCATGACGGTGATTGTGTGCCGGTCTCCGTAGCTGGCGCGTTGCATACCGCCGGAGAATAGAACAAGCTCGCCTTGTCTACGGAAAACGCAAAGTTTTGTTCAGTTAAGTGGAGCAAAACGATGAGAGAAATATCGTTCGACTTCTAAGTGACTTACTCTGCGGTGGGATACACGAGGATCTTGCTCACGGCCTTGCATGGGAACGGTCCGTAAAGCGTCGTCGGCTCCGGCACGGCGTCGCTGCCCGGGCTCCAAAATGAATAGGAACCATCGTTGTGTGACGAGACAAAGCGATTCTCGGAGATCCAGTGGACCGATTCCAGCTGTTGCGTGGAGACGAATGTCTGCGCACGCGAAAACAAACCCATCAGCTGCGCGTACACGTTCCACCAAAGACCACCAAAGACACAAACGACAATCAGAACGAGCGATACTATCTCACAATTAACTCTGCTGTTCCATTCGACTCCATTTTAATCCTCATCTTTATTTCTTAAAATTAATATTTTATTATTTTAGAAAAATGAAAATTATTTCATCACTTATTTCAAATGTATTTTTCTAAATAGAAGAACCTTCCAGGCTACAAAAAAAGTAAAACATTCAAACAGAGAGAAGAATATGCATTAAAAATATAGTTTGATAAAAAGTAATTAATACCATCTTTAGTTTTAATGTAATAATCTTCAAGTCTTTTATATGTGTCTTTTATATATGTCACTTTTATATATGTATTTAAAATTAAAAAAAAAAAACAGATTAAATTTTATCCAATTAAAATATATTAAAGCATATAGAGATACATTCGAATTAAATTGTGTATCGGAGGTAAACGGGCTAGCAGAGTTAAACAGCAGTGTATTGTTTTGAGAGAAGCATATAAAGCGTGAGTATTGCATTTGCCAAAGAGTAATCGTGTAGATGTATAAACAGATACGCTTACCTGTTGAGCTCCCGGAGTGGCTTTATTCCACAGCACCATCAAACCTCGATTATAACCGATCAAAATGTTATCCGGATGTCCTGGCTGTTCAGCGATGGCTTCAACGGCTCCTGGATTTTTCTTGTAATCTTCTGGAACGCTGTGCAACAAAAATAATTTCATAATTTTTGGCGGAATGACTCTTTCTTTGTCTTAGGTAATTAAAGAAAATACTTTAATTCTACTAAAATAATTGTAATATTTTTTTATTAATATTATAATTTACTTAAAAATTTTAAAGCTATTTTCAACTTTTTAAATTTTGTATAGTGTGGTTTATCCTGTACAGAATTAAAACAATGTAGGTAATTTTTTATACAAAATTGATGATAGACAAAGCTTTTCACAATTTTTTTAACATTCAATTCAAAATATAGAAGATAATAAAAATTTGGGTCAAATTCGGAAACAACATATGATATCTAATCCAATCACTTACTTTTGCATCACCACATCCTGATAGATAATATTGTCCGGCATGACGAAAGTTTTCAGATTTAGCAAATAAATATTGCCGCCTTCCGTTCCCAGCAACAGATGTTCCCCGCTAGATTCGAGACACATCGCCGAGATCTTCTTCAATTTGCCCTCCAACGACAGCGACTTTGTTTCCACCACGGAACTTTCATTGATTTCCCATAAATGCAGCGAATTGTCGTCGCACAAGGACACCACGCGACCCTGTAATTTACGTTACGACGCGCCAAATTAGTCATAAAATTTCTCTCGGAATGAAGTAGCGTTATATCGCACATGTTGCATCCATTTCAATATATAAAATATTTTTAAAAATATTTTTTATATATAATTCTTGAGGATCTTTTTTCTGTTAGAAATGTCCCGAAACTTTTTTGCTCTTCCCGTATAAAATCTTATTCTTACTTAATATTTCTTCAACAAAAAGTTTTAATAACGGTTTTTATCTCGTTAAAAAATCAGCTCCTGATATAGAGGAAGTAATAAAACGTCTCGCAATAAAGATTAACGACGGCTGCTGGCCTTTCCTATTATCATTATTATACGAGCAAAATACTTGCGCAATTCTTTGACTTCTCACGAGTCAACTTTCGTATTCTTCTTATTCAATGGCCGTCATTCGCAATGCATCAAGTGAAAACTCACAGGGAACGCAAGGTCGAACGAATTCACTTGCACTCGGTGCCTAAGCTTGTCTATAATCGCCAAAAATTTAGTGGCTTGTGAAAAACGAATGTTCGATAGCAATAGCTATATTTAGAATATTGAATCATACGTGACTCACAGATTTATATTCCCTATTTTGATAAACAAATTTAACGCGAAATTTTTATACAAAGTAATTAATAAATCCAAAGAAATAAATTTATATCTAAATTAATTATTGTGATAATTGTAATTAATTTGTGTATATTTAAATTAATTATTAAATTTGAATATGTATTTCAATTTAATTTGAACAAATTTAATACAGATATATCTATATAATTAAAAAAAATTGTTTCTCAGTTTTTAATAACAGTTTTTAATAACAGTTTTTAATAACAGTTTTTAATAATAAATATTACTCTTTTCTAAACGCATTTATCAAAGATTATATTGCATGTTATTTGCTTTTATTGATATTACGATATTGCAATCTAACAGCTTTTTTTTCTGGAACGAGTAAATATTCCTGAGATTGAGATTATTTATCGTATTACAAACAGTTATTTTTCCCGTTTGACGTAAAGTTTCTGATTATTACATACGGAAAAGCTCAATTTATTTTAAAATTTTAATTTTAAAAAATTTTCCAAAGCAAAGAAAAAGTTAAACCTGAAATTTGACAAAAACTAATGTTAAATCTCTATCATAGGCCAGCTCCTATCTTATCAGTCCCGAGATTTGCTCGAAACTGCTTATCGTGATAACGAAACGTTCATGCTTACATCATTGTGCAATCGTATGGACAAAGATGCGATTCAATTAACGGGCCACACCTGATTCTAATACTGCGATTCCGATACTGCGAAAAATGATATATGCTTTCAATAAAAGTTATCAACAAGTCATTGATAAATTATTATTAACTTTCCGATAAATTGCCATTTAAACAAGTTTTTGAAACTTAGACTCTTGAGTACAACTTCTTAAACGCATAATCAATTTTTATTTAAAAAATCCCTCAAACATTGAAAAATATGCTTAATCAGAAATATATTAAAATAATTTTATTAATTAATGTTCTTGTTTTTTTACTGCAATCATATAATTTAATGCCGCAATGAGGGATCATAAATTTTAAAATACGTTAAATTAATTTACAACCTAAGATAATACATAAGTATGTATTTATAACGATATCTCAAATTGTAAATTATAACTAAGTCTTATAAGCTCTAAAATTATCTTTCTATAAATGCAAAATCATTCAAGATTAATTTATTAATACTGATACTTTATACGAAAAATATACCAATTTTTCCATTACACAAAAAATCTATACTTGTGCGTTTAACAGGTCTATCCAATATTTACCTCAGCATCGTTTACAAACTCGCTCGTAATGTTCACACGCTGGTAAACATCTGAATAATCGGAAGTGCGAAGAAAATTTTTCGCCTGTATTTTACGCCACGGTTTAATTGCATTCCGTGGCATTAATTGCGACGCACCGTTGTAATGTCGTTGCACCCGTGTATTGCTTATCCCGTACACGCGTGCGTGAGCACATTGTACAGTGTACAGGATTATGCAACCCGCCGGCAACCGTATAAGCGGAACACGGTATCGCGTTACTCGCCGCGATGCGTGTGATCTTAACTATCATAAAGTTAGCGCCTACGTTAGTTTCTACGTAAAGTGGAACACAGAGAACACATATAAAAAAAGAGGGCAGATACAAATGTAAAAATAAAAAAAGAAAACATGACACATAATTGCACTAATAATAATATAAAAAATGCATTAAATGGACAAATGATCTCCCTGATATTATAAACATTTTACATTTTAATATTTTTCCGAATTTGAATCACAAACTATTTTATTCATCGATATCAAGAATATATTTCCTTAAATTAGCTAAAATCTGTTGAATCAAAAAATAAATACGATCAATATGTACGAATGTTATATAACTTGAGTAGATCGATGTTGAATAAATTTTATATGTATTTGGTCACACTGCAAATTTATACTTCCAAATAGATTTGAAATTTAATTTTCCAGTATAGAATGCCAAAAGTGGCAATTTATTTTGCACCGTAATCACGTCTTTTGTGAAATTTTCGACAAAGGAAGAATGCAGACAATTCACTATATAATAGGCTTTTATTATTAATTACTAATGAAAGGAGCTAGTAAAGCAGTCATAATTAAGGCATTAATTATCTTACCTCGTTCGGCAGTGCGACGATCTTCGTGACGGCATTCTCACCGCTTTCGACAGAATGTTGCCCGTAAAATTCCACGCCTGGCCTTCCAAAACTGATGATTGAGTTAAGGAATACCAACAAAAGAAGATCGTATAATATACAATATTTGTATAAATATATAAAACACGCTGACACAGAAAATGTGACACGCGCCAAGCACGTGATAAAACGAGTTCGGACACCGAATTTGGAATCTGACCGACTTAATATGCTGACAGTGAAGATTACATTCGAGGAAGCGGTTGTTGAATATACGTAAGCATAAACTGCATAAGTCTGCAGTAAGGATTTTGCAGTAAGTTTCTAGATGGATCATGCGATAACTTATGCCATTGAGCTGGTCAATGATGCCATATGATGGAACACAGTTGCATAATCGCGCTACTTCAAATAATTATGAAAAAAATTAACTTGCGTTTGATTTACTAATTTTAAAAATCAACTGTAAGATTTAATCCAACATTGATTTAATTTGTTTTTTAAAAAATTTAGAAAAATTGATCTTAATTAAAAAAATTAATTTTTATGTGGATTATCCCTTTAATGTAAATTTAATTTTTGGAAAAATATTTATTCGAGCGGAATAAAAAAATTGTCATCCGTTTCGCATTGCGCATTTTATTTAGCACGAGGTGTCACCTACTTTTTAGTTTCGATCAATATTTTCTACGAAGGCAATAGCTTTCTTGAACAAGACTTGCTCGCTTTATTCAGAAATTTTGTGCCCATTTTTCCAATAATCTTTTAGAAAATTCTTCACGTAGTTAAGCGGTTAGGTAGAAGACTGCCTTGATAAAAGCGGAAAGATAAAGTATCGTCATTTTGAGCCGCCTCGAGTTATAGAAAATGTTCAAGAGGCTCGTGATTAAGGTTCAAATATAGCCGCACGCGTGCACTTGTACGTCGGATTAAAACGTGATATCGCGTACCGTACTCGCGGATTGCGCGTAGCCGGAGATTCTCCCGATGCGACGACGAGGTGTGTCGCGCAGATAATCAGTATACGTATACCTATTGCGAAATAATAACGATTATCTGGCGATTACGTAGTCCTTGAAAGCATCTGTCGACTGTGCGCGTACAGTTACGGCATTAAACCGGCATTAAATTGCCGACTCGCTGACGTGTTGATCGTTTCGTCACATCTAACAATCCGCTTAATACCATCAACGAAATAAAAAAACGCGTAATTTCCATGAAACACCATGATCGTCACCATGCCCTTTGCCCTATGTCCTTGATTTAATACAAGTCATTAGCATTTTAAAAAATTAAGTTAATATGCACATATAGTGTATACAATATTATTAAGAAAAAGGTCGTTAAAAGAAGCGATTAAGCGATAAAAGAATTCATAAAACTTCATGAATTGCTCACATACACTTTTAAAGAGGATAAAATTTTTTGAATTACAAGTTAAGCATGATGACAAAAATCAAAACCATTTAAATTTATATATAGCTCTAGATTATTTAAAAAAACGCGATACTTTTATAAACAAAAATCAAAAAGACAGTCTAAACTTGGTATTCAGTATGATTCATTTAACTTAACGATTGATAAGCCGTGACGATTCATATTTATCATTAAATATTCATTATTTCATATTTATATTCATATCACTTCAAAAAGATGATAAATTTTAACTATAATATGACTTGGGGCAGCTTGCAATTAATATTGCAAATGAGCTTTTTGTTGGATCGATAATTCACCACGTTACACGCGCATGAAGGACAGAAAACGAGAGCAACACGATATTACGCGAACAAAATTCACGCTGACTCTCTTTTTAGTGAATTTATTAACCGAAAACTCCAAATGTTCATCATTCAACTGTCAGCAATTTTAATCGTAAAACAATTATGAAAGATCTTGTTCCTGAAGTGAACAAGAAATAACATTGATCAGAGTGTCAATATACTTCTGAAATCGAACATTTCAATCGAACATAGCTACACTACGTAGGCACTTCTTTCACGAACAATCAATATCTCGATTGTACTCTGCATTATGCAAACGCAGTTGTTTTTAATTGAATAGTACAATGCGACAGCGATCTGACCTAGTTTTCCAAGAACTTGAGAAATATAAAGTTAGATAAAATTTTGTAAGTCACTGAAAAGTAAATTAAAGAGACCGCTGATGCGATTGAATCTTTCAATTAGAAATAACTGCACTCGCATAATGCAAAACTGTTATATATAAGCGCCGTGTGCCGTATGCTCTAAACATGATTTAACGTTCCTACAATAATCCTCTCTGCCTCCAATAATACTCTGGCCGCAGTAAGCAAGTTTATAAAATACATTGCAGCTGATTTATGGAGCCTTTGTTAAGCGATCGTTCGCGGGCGCAACGAAACAGATTTTCCTATTGCAGCAATAAGAACATAAAAATATCATTTACAACCGACTGATATCAATGGCAATAATACGCGCTTAAAGAAAAATTTTATCGGCAAAAGAAACAGACGATAAAACTGATAACAATTAAATTTTTATAACGAATAATACATACGTGTGTTATTTTAACAATGAATCAAAACTTCTCACACCTTTCCCTTCTTGAGGAATGAAGCTTTACGAGGATTAATAGATCGATACGGACGTCATCGAGCGGTTTCGCCTCGAGACCAGATTATAAATACCAAACGGAAAGAAAGCGAGATAGACGAAGGCAAGGAGCAAGAAAAGCAAAAGGATACACCTTGATGGCGCCGGATGCCGTGCCGATGATCATCAGCCGCAGACTCGGATCCCAGGCGAGAGCGGTCGGCTTGTTCGGGAAACCATGCTGCACCGTCTGCAACGAAATAAGAAAGTGAACCATTAGTGATGCTAAATTTCAATCAATTATCCGATGTACAGATTCTTCCGACTTTTTTCTTCGCGATTATCACTTTACGTATCAAATCTACGTAATTATGAAGTATTGTTATGAATGCCACGATCAAACGAAATGTATCATTACGAAGCTAATTGAGATAATTTGAAGAATAAGCGGCTGCTTTACGCATTAATCGTGTAAACGTTGATTTAAAGCCATTTCCATCTATTCAATACAATTATCCAATTAATGCTCATTATCCTATTAGTATGTTTCTTCGGAGTTTTTATTTTCTTTCAAAATCCCGTGACTATATTCTCCGTCTATTTTCTCTATTTACGTCTACTTTGACTATTTATTCCGTTCGAAATACAATTTAGAACGGTTACAGCGTCCTGGCACGGATATTAACGGTATTAATATTAGTTTGGGCAAAAGTAGCGACTAGTTAGTCAGCGCGCGGCTCTCTCGCGATGAGTCAGATTTTGACAGTGTCCGTTAATCGAGCGTGGTTTATCAAGCGCGTTCGTACCTACACGCGTACGTCAGCATATAAAGCGCACGCGATATATGCTCCCGACTGCGGTAAACGTGTCTTCAAAAAGCAGTCAGCGGTTAATAAAGTTCCGACTCGACGCGGTGCCAATGAAATATTGTTACGCGGTGCTGCTAAATGCTTTCGCGTGGATCACGCTCTTCCCGTTTATTTCCGTCTCTTCCCACGGCCGATTATAACTCGCGCAAGAATCACGAAGTACAAGCATCTTAGAGCTCTAAATTCTTAATACGTTTTCACTAAAACGTAGATGCACGAATATATGTATATGCAAAGTGTATCAGGACTTTCGCCACTTCAAACATAATTGCTTGAGATTCTGAACGTATTTTTTGTGTCATTTGAAATTGCTTATTTAATCTTGTGTGGCGCGGTACAGTTACATCTGGAAATTACATCTGGAATTCTTAACTAGCATTAATACGCAATAAATAAGCCACATAATCATGCGAAGAGTTTTTTTCTTCTTCTGGAAAAGAAGATTGCGCCTCAATTAAATATTAAGACACCAACAGTTATAAGCGTAGAAGGTAAAAAAAACTTGCCGCTAACTGATCGCATGGAATGCAGTTAATTAATGAAAATTTCTTATTGATACATGCAACCTTCATTTTCCAGTGTCTTAATTAAGTTATTTGCTAAGATACATAATGTGTGTGTATCGAAACGTTAAGAATGTAACAGATAATACTCCTTTATACAATTTCTTTTCTAAAAAATCTATTATAATTCTCAAAAATGTTACACAAAGAAAGCATTTCCAAAAAAAATTCGATAAAGTTTATTAAAATTAAAGGCAAATGATGCTATTGGCATTTTATCTTACTTGGCATTTTCAATATACATAATTTGTCTAAAACATTATATATATTTATATTTGGAAAGATGTGGTTGCAAATAAACCGAGATTATAATTTATAAATTAATAAAGAAAAATTTTATACAAATCTACATAAGGATTTCACGTAAGCAAGATTGCCGAGGAAAAATCGATCACAAATTTACTGAATATATGATGTCACAATCTGTAATCCGTGAACAAGTGGGAGAAATTCACAGAACAGGAAACATTTTTCTACCTGGGAGTTTCCAAGTTTCCAACGTTCCTTGGTAAATATTCGTTTTCTAAAGACGGTTTTCTCGAAGATCTTGTCTTCGACTTGCCGATCGACAATATTGCGATTAGAACAGCCTGCAGAGACCTTGGCTTCAGAACTATTTCCATAAGAAAAGGTGTCACTACCTGCAAGCATCGCCAACCAAGCACGATCTTTACGAGAAATACGTCCTAACAAGAATTAAGACGAAATCTTGGTGCTCGTATATATAACAAAGAAGCATTTTTCTTAGTTTCTTTCAAGTATCTACAGCCTCATAGACTCAAATTTAAAATCTCAAAGTTTAAAATCTTTATAAATTAATCTGCTATAAAAATTACAAAGAAAAAAAATAAAAGTTTTATTGTGAGAAAAATGTATTCAATATTTTCTGACACGTAAAGTATTCAGAGAAAATTAAAAGATTTGAGGAGAAATAATTCAAATTTTATTTTCATAACTTTAAATATATCAAATTATCCTTGCCTATATGAAGTTAGCCCCCCATTTTTCGATTTTGAATATTTTTTTAGTTGTTCCAGGTTGTTCTACGTTTGTTCTATATTGTTCCAAAGTTATGAACAAAAAAATCGAAAAACATGACGGGAAAAGCAAAAAAACGATTTATTTTTGTGGCCACCCATTTTTTTTTAAATTCAAATTTTTTTGCTGTTCTGGATTGTTCTAATTGTTCTAAACATTGTTCTAAAATATTAATCCCCCTAAAAAAGAATTTAAAAAGATATAGCAAAAAATAGCATTAAGCGTCCAAATAGTATTTTTACATTTATCGCTATTATTATATTATGTTTTGACACCAAATTACATATTTAAGCTAAAAACGAATAGAACAACCCAGAACAACTCTCAGTTTCACCAGAACAAACATATAAAAGGCACTTTACTCTTGAAGGTAGAGAATTATTTTGTCTTTTTCGACCGATAATGTTACATCAGCGACACTAAAACCTAGAACAATGAGAAATAGACACAGAACAATCCGGAATAACTCTCAGTTTTGTCAGAACAAACGTTTAAAGAGCACTTTACTCTTGAAGGTAGAGAATTATTTTGTCTTTTTTGACCGATAATGTTACATCAGCGACACTAAAACCTAGAACAATGAGAAATAGACACAGAACAATCCGGAACAACTCTTAGTTTTGTCAGAACAAACGTTTAAAGAGCACTTTACTCTTGAAGGTAGAGAATTATTTTGTCTTTTTCGACCGATAATGTTACATCAGCGACACTAAAACCTAGAACAATGAGAAATAGACACAGAACAATCCGGAACAACTCTCAGTTTTGTCGAACAAACGTATAAGGAGCACTTTACTCTTATATTTAAAAAAATAAAAAAATTCAAAAAAAACACTAATCGACACTAATCGCTGATGTAACATTATCGGTCGAAAAAGACAAAATAATTCTCTATTTTCAAGAGTAAAGTGCTCTTTAAACGTTTGTTCTGACAAAACTGAGAGTTGTTCCGGATTGTTCTGTGTCTATTTCTCATTGTTCTAGGTTTTAGTGTCGCTGATGTAACATTATCGGTCGAAAAAGACAAAATAATTCTCTACCTTCAAGAGTAAAGTGCTCTTTAAACGTTTGTTCTGACAAAACTGAGAGTTGTTCCGGATTGTTCTGTGTCTATTTCTCATTGTTCCAGGTTTTAGTGTCGCTGGTGTAACATTATCGGTCGAAAAAGACAAAATAATTCTCTACCTTCAAGAGTAAAGTGCCTTTTATATGTTTGTTCTGGTGAAACTGAGAGTTGTTCTGGGTTGTTCTATTCGTTTTTAGCTTAAATATGTAATTTGGTGTCAAAACATAATATAATAATAGCGATAAATGTAAAAATACTATTTGGACGCTTAATGCTATTTTTTGCTATATCTTTTAAATTCTTTTTTAGGGGGATTAATATTTTAGAACAATGTTTAGAACAATTAGAACAACCCAGAACAGCAAAAAAATTTGAATTTAAAAAAAAATGGGTGGCCACAAAAATAAATCGTTTTTTTGCTTTTCCCGTCATGTTTTTCGATTTTTTTGTTCATAACTTTGGAACAATATAGAACAAACGTAGAACAACCTAGAACAACTAAAAAAATATTCAAAATCGAAAAATGGGGGGCTAACTTCATATAGGCATTATCCTTGGCGTTTCGATACAAGAGTTAAACACCGCATGTCGACATACATACATACAACTCATAAGTGGAGACGTGGGAACAACTTTGTCTACCGGTCGCGAGATATTGACAAGCTATTTGCGAACTTGAATGTGAAATGGGAATACGATTCACGATCGTCACGTCCGCAACATGCAAAATACGCGAACTGTTGGCAAACGTTTCTTCTCGTTTGCAAAATGATATTTCTTCTTTTTAGCGGTACTCTTTCTACGATGTTTTCTCTTTCTCTTTCTCTCTTCTTTCTTTCTCTTTCTCTCTTCTTAAATAACGCGAGCGTACACCGATGAATGGACACTATTTGTGCCGCTGCTCTCGAGCGCTATTCCAATCATTTGCATGCTCAGAAAAAGAACATACAGACAAACATCCAAGGTAATTGAACTGTATTTGCTTCGCGACGTCATTGAACCGTCAAATGCCCATCGTTGTAGATTCGTAGTAATGCATTTATACATCAAACTTATTTTTAAAAAACTGATTTTACCTTTATTTATTATTTTTCGTCAACTTTTCCTCGGAATTATTTACTTTTAATTTAAAAAGTTACGCATTTAAATATTAAAACATTCCGTAAACTTATCGTATGATAAATACAATATCGGTTTAATGAAAGGAAAAGGACGACTCAGAAATCTTATCGTAGTTTGTTTGCCGTAATGCCGATAGAATCATCCGCTATCTCTCTTCGCGATATATCGAAGTTTCTTGTTCGGGCTTGAGAGCTATCGAGAAATTAAGCGTAGGCAAGATATGTCGAGTACTCAAAGAATCGTATCGTATTAACTTGTTGATTGGGGCACGGCGTGTTAATATTCGGACTATTTTTTTTCCTCACGGCAACAATAATATAGCAATTCATACATTTAATCGCATGCCTATCAAATTATTATTAATATTAACAAAATTTGTGCTATATTCCTTTTTCTTGCAGTAAATATCACTTAATATAGAATAAAACAGTCATAAAATAACCATAAAATAGTTATGCATAAAATAAAAAAACTTTTTGTGTTGGTTCTGTATGTTGCCATGACATAAGTCTAAATACAAAATGCTACTTTCTTAATACTATAACTCACAATTATTATCCAAAGAAAATCAATAATAATAACAGCAAATACTGACTCATTACGAGCTGTGTAAACTGTGTTTATCGACGAGTTCGCCGTCGCTCTGCTGCGACCTGAATTTTCACTTGCACATTTTCACTTTGTGTACTTTGTGCAACTTCTTTCGAGAATCCACAGTGCGGGGAATTAAATCGCTATAAGGTTTCGTGATAATACACTAACAATACACTACGGCGTCACCACGTCGCGCAGATGCGTCAAACATATACGCTGGAAATGCTACAAAGTATCAATACTTTTGTTTTACTTGTTTCAATATATTAGATGCGCTATTTATACTTCATAAGCACCGATGTATGCAGTGAATAATACATAAGTAAAGAGAAAAAAAGATTAAAAAAAAATTTTTTTAAAGATTTTGAAATTACATGCATATCACACAACAGCATAAAAAATAATTGCGTTATTTTTATTGCTGAAAAACTTAGCATACTCATTTAACGCTTCTAATAAAAAATTAAGTACCAATACCTTTTATGAATTCATAAATTAGTAAAGTTTAAGCACCTCGACTTTGAAACTTCTACAGCTTGCTTTAAATAATCTATAATTTGCGACAGAATTGTAAGTAGAATTCTATCGCAACTTCGCTATCGCAGATCATAGATTGTTTAATCAAAATTTTGATCCGATTAGAATATTACAATTCATTATTATTCATTCCGTAAATATTAAAAAAGTAGCCTTTTTCACTTTTTCTTCAATAATATATAACTTATCTTTACGAAGTGTTTATTAATTTTTTTAACTCAACAACGATCATGTAATGTTGTTTTCCACTAAAGGTGCAATATTGACTTGTTAGCTCTATGTAACTCGCTTGAAAAGCCGTTCCCAACGCTTGCGCGTCTGATAAGAGGATTCAACGTTTCCTGCAGATTACACGGACCCATTGGCAGGAAATTATCCGTCGCAGAAGTTTTTGTGTATCGTATATCTAGTGAAATACGTTGATCCTGCGGCATGTTCGATCGTGCGTCTAATAGAGCACGATAAAAAAAAAATGCACTGCCGTGTTCAACAAAGAGCACGATTGCGCAACATTTGAACGGTTATTGTCAGCCAAATGTTGTCTGCTTCATCGTTACCTAACGGTATCTGCTAATGGCCATTCTTTTGTCGCTTCTGAAATATGTTATCCACAGGCAACATGTTAAGTAGAAGCAAATTCCTCTTAAGAAAAATTAAATCAAATTTTTGACTAATTCTTTCGTTAAATATTTTAATAAAAAGCAAAATATTTAAATATTTAAATATTTTGCTTTTTATCAAAAGAATTTTAATGATGTTGACGATTTTATTTAGGTGAATTAAGAGATTGATACAATATAGTAGCTATGATTTTTGCGATTTTTAATTCTATATTTATAACTTTTGATTTAATTAAAACTGAAAAAAAAATCTTAATATTTTAATGGTAAAAGAGATTAGAATTATTTAAATAATGTTCCTACAAAAAAATTGCTTCTTACAGTTTGTTCTGTGCTGCGCAATTATACTAGTTTTATTTTTAACAGCAAAATATACACTACTTACTTTTAATTAACATAATATGTGAGGATAAAGACTGTCCTAGGTTTATTGTACTGTCAATGAAGGAAAGAAAAATGTTTTTTTTCCAGCTTTTTACATGAAATCGATTTAATCGAAGTTGAATGACGCGACACGTTACTGTTTCTCTTAATGGTAGTTGTAATTATAGAATGGAAATTTAAATAATTACCTTAGCTATTAATAACAAAAGTACGTACAAAGTACACAGATCAAGATATAAATTTTAGATCAAATGATAAATGTCTTATTCCTGCGACAAATAAAATGTCTTCTGCGTATAATTGTATAATTATTTTTTTCTTTTCAACAAAATGAAAAAAAATTTATGAAAATAGCTGCTTTATTTCTTAAAATAATTTAGTTATAAAACTTGGTTTTTTTGTAATACTTAAAAAATTAACTAAAATTTTATATTATAATTTTGATTAATATCTCTTCGATGTTTTACATTGCTTTCTTGGCTTGCGACAGAAATTCGTGGCATTTCATAAATAACCAAACACGTTCCAATACGTCAGATAATATTGCTGGCTTTGAAGCGTAGCCGCCTACTAAACACGCATCCGTTCACGATCAATGCACGAATATTTGCGGTTGAATCGAACAACGTTCGCGAATAAACAACGCAAATTAACGAACCAATGCAATGTCTGGTCGGATAAGCAAATACTTTTGCACATGATTAACCATTCGCAACATTATTGAGTGAAGTTTCGCAAATACATCGTTATTCGCCGATCAATGTTTCGTCAGAATAAACGCACGTTTATCTCGACAAGATAATCGGCGTCAGAAAGTGATACAAAATATATTTTCAGACTTTTATGAGACTTTCGACAAGTCTGCACATAGCGGAAGATGCGTTTTACAGTTAAGGATTTGTAGTTGAAATGTAAAATGCCTTTGCAGAATAATTCATCGTATACCGCAAAGTAGAATTATTTTGCACAATAAGAATAAGACGTTAATAATTCATTAAAAGTTTTCTATGTGTAGCAATATATTAAAAAAAAAAAAACGTTTTTAAGACGAATTATATATATAAAAACTGAAAATTCAAACAAGAAAAATGCAATAATTGCTCGCATGCAATAATTATTAATTGCGTCAATTATATTAAGTACTACTTTTTATATTTTCTATTCCTTTTATGTAACTCTTATCTCTTCTATTTGACTGCCAAATTTCGGCCAAAACGACACTTTGTTGCTACGACAACGATGACGCTTATTCAAACAACGTAATAATGCAGACACGAAATAGTCCCATTACGCAGTACGATAATACAAAAACATTGTAGAATTGATACAAAATAGACTTGCAGCGTTATTTTCCATGAAATTCAGAGAATTTTTGTGAACGAAAATTAATTGAAAATAAACAATATTTCGCAAATCGAATTTCAGAGTCATAAATGAATAGAACGTTATTTTTTATCTTTTAATTTAAAGCATATTTTGTTTGATAAAATTTTAATTTTAAACTGAATTATTACAGATATCGCAATCTGTATGTATTATTGCAATCTAATAATAAAGCATGACAAATACAGATTTTCTGCAACTTTCTTGTTAAGCTAAAATTTGATAAGTTTTATCCTGTATATCACACTTTGTGCGCAATTCTCGAGTGTCATAAAGCATAAAGCTGATGATAAACTGATAAACAAACCGTTATGGCAAGCTGTGTATAACGGACTAGAAAATCTGCACTGAGGAACTCGCGCAAACACTGCAAGTAAAAACTGACTGAAGGATTGTAAATCAATCGCGGAAACTAGTTGCAAGTACGTTCGCACTTGAATGTCGAGTTCGTGCCGCATTATCGAAATTATTGCGCAGAAACGGAGAAATAAACCTCGTGTATACGAGCAATGAGCGGAGAACAGGCAGACGATAAAAAGATACCATTGGTACAGGCGGTAACTTGATATTCCCGGCGAAACGAATCGCTCGAACCTGTCTGCGCCGTGAGACTCACCGCTGTGTTCGCTGGTCAAAATTGCCAAAAATGCAAAATTTACGCTACACGAACACTTCTCACGATTGTTAAAATAAAACGAGTAATCTTATTCTTTGCACTCGCTACAACTTTTTGTATTTTTAAAGTTGCACCGATAAAACGCTGACTGTGCAGATGCATATATCTGATTGCCGGGTTTCTTTTACAATTTTAACAACTGTAGAAGTAATGTTGTAGTAAAAGTTTAGAGCTACAAATTTAAATGATTGACAAAAGTATGAAAAAATAGGAAATATTTTTAAAATGCTTAAAAAAAATTATTTGATCAAAATCGGAAAACAAAAATAAATCTGTATCATAGATAACGTTTTTTTCAGATAAGCACACGTGATTCTTGATAAGATTTTAAAACAACGTTCTCTTCGAAGGAGTCATTTGAAAAATTCTGCGAGTGATCATATGAGCGATTCATTCAAAAATGGCCAACTGTTGAATGGCCAGCTCGGAATCATTTTGATCAAACTGAACTGGCAACACAGCCTCGGACACTCATCCGCACCCATACGTGCGTTTCACGCCGGGTGTGGGCGAACGAATCTTTTTGCCGGGTGCGAGAATCTCTCTCTCTCTC